GAAAACGCGCAGATAGCACAACTTTACATCGTCAATGCCTTTAGAAGGCACAGCAGAAATTTTAAGTCGATCCGACTAAATCCCTAGGAGGAGTTCGTTAAAGTACGGAGTCTGTAAATCGTCCAAAAATGGCCGCCAAATTCAAAATGGCGGACCTCCTGATGAGTTTAGGGTATGGGTTCTTGAGGCTTTTTTGTGCGTCGTGATATGATACACGTCCCCACCAAAATTTCGTGCATGTAGGTTGAACGTGGACGAGGGGCTAATTTTTTCAATTTTCTAGGTGGCGCTAGCGTGCCATTTTGCCCCCATCCTGCGAAACCCACAAAATACGAAATTTTTCACCAGTCCTGACATGCGTGCCAAATTTGGTGAGTTTTTGAGCATGTTGCGGCCCCGAAAATGGCACTTACTTTGCAGAAAAAAGAAAAAAAAAAAAAATAATCCTAACAGTTTCAATAGGGTCCTCGCACTGTTAGTGCTCGGGCCCTAAAAAAAATTAAAGCTGCAAGCAGCGATGGGCGGGCCCTCGCACCTGTAGCGCGTCGGGAAGTGAGGCGGCCGCGTTGCATATTTTGCAGCTCAGCCGGTGCGGCTGTGAATTTGCTACGCTGCTTCATTAAAGGTCACTTCCTATTGCCAGCAGGTGGCGCTATGACTGTGGGTGAATGTCGGCATGTAGATTTGTTCAGGGCGGGACTCTTGTCAAATGTGTTAAATTTTGTGCAGATCTGGGCATTTACAGCCAAGTTACTACAACTTCCTTTTTCATGGCGAATCATCGACGCCAGGGCCACGCCCATCGACGAAAATGCGCAGATAGCACAACTTTACATCGTCAATGCCTTTAGAAGGCACAGCAGAAATTTTAAGTTGATCCGACTAAATCCCTAGGAGGAGTTCGTTAAAGTACGGAGTGTGTAAAATCGTCCCAAATCGGTCGCCAAATTCAAAATGGCGGACTTCCTGTCGAGTTTAGGGTATGGGTTCTTGAGGCTTTTTTGTGCGTCTGGTCATGGTAGAAGTACCACAGAAATTTCGTACATGTCGGTCCAACAAGCGGCGGGGGCTGCTTCGTTAAAGGACACTTCCTGTTGCCAGCAGGTGGCGCTATGACTGTGGGTGAATGTCGGCATGTAGATTTGTTCAGGGCGGGACTCTTGTCAAATGTGTAAAATTTCGTGCAGATCTGGGCATTTACAGCCAAGTTACTACAACTTCCTGTTTCATGGCGAATCTTCGACACCACGGACACGCCCATCGACGAAAATGCGCAGATAGCACAACTTTACATCGTCAATGCCTTTAGAAGGCACAGCAGAAATTTTAAGTCGATCCGACTAAATCCCTAGGAGGAGTTCGTTAAAGTACGGAGTCTGTAAATCGTCCAAAAATGGCCGCCAAATTCAAAATGGCAGACCTCCTGTCGAGTTTAGGGTATGGGTTATTGAGGCTTTTTTGTGCGTCTTGATATGATACACGTCCCCACCAAATTTTGTGCATGTAGGTTGAACGTGGACGAGGGGCTAATTTTTCCAATTTTCTAGGTGGCGCTAGCGAGCCATTTTGCCCCGCCCATCCGCGAAACCCACAAAATACGAAATTTTCACCAGTCCTGACATGCGTGCCAAATTTGGTGAGTTTTTGAGCATGTTGCGGCCCCGAAAATGGCACTTACTTTGCAGAAAAAAGAAAAAAAAAAAAAATAACCCTAACAGTTTCAATAGGGTCCTCGCACTGTTAGTGCTCGGGCCCTAAAAAAAAAATAACCCTAACAGTTTCAATAGGGTCCTCGCACTGTTAGTGCTCGGGCCCTAAAAAAAAAAAAAATTAAAGCTGCAAGCAGCGATGGGCGGGCCCTCGCACCTGTAGCACGTCGGTGTCTGAGGCGGCCGCGTTTCATTTTCTGCAGCTCATCCAGTGCGGCTGTGCATTTGCCACACTGCTTCGTTAAAAGGCCACTTCCTGTTGCCAGCAGGTGGCGCTATGACTGTGGGTGAATGTCGGCATGTAGATTTGATCAGGGCGGGACTCTTGTCAAATGTGTTAAATTTCGTGCAGATCTGGGCATTTACAGCCAAGTTACTACAACTTCCTGTTTCATGGCGAATCATCGACGCCACGGACACGCCCATCGACGAAAACGCGCAGATAGCACAACTTTTCATCGTCAATGCCTTTAGAAGGCACAACAGAAATTTGAAGGCGATCCGACTAAAGCCCTAGGAGGAGTTCGTTAAAGTACGTAATGAGTAAATCATCCAAAAATGGCGGTAAAATTAGAAATGGCTGACTTCCTGTTGAGTTTAGGGCATCGCTCCAAGAGACTTTTCTGTGCGTCTGGACATGGTAGATGTACCACAGAAATTTCGTACATGTCGGTCAAACATGCGACGGGGGCTGCTTCGTTAAATGTCACTTCCTCTTGCCACTAGGTGGCGCTATGAATGTGGGTGAATGTCGGCATGTAGATTTGTTCAGGGCGGGACTCTTGTCAAATGTGTAAAATTTCGTGTAGATCTAGGCATTTACAGCCAAGTTACTACAACTTCCTGTTTCATGGCGAATCATCGACGCCACGGACACGCCCATCGACGAAAACGCGCAGATAGCACAACTTTACATCGTCAATGCCTTTAGAAGGTACAGCAGAAATTTGAAGTTGATCCGACTAAATCCCTAGGAGGAGTTCGTTAAAGTACGGAGTGTGTAAATCGTCCCAAATCGGTCGCCGAATTCAAAATGGCGGACTTCCTGTCGAGTTTAGGGTATGGGTTCTTGAAGCTTTTTTGTGCGTCTGGTCATGGTAGATGTACCACAGAAATTTCGTACATGTCGGTCAAACAAGCGGCGGGGGCTGCTTCGTTAAAGGTCACTTCCTGTTGCCAGCAGGTGGCGCTATGACTGTGGGTGAATGTCGGCATGTAGATTTGTTCAGGGCGTGAGTCTTGTCAAATGTGTAAAATTTCGTGCAGATCTGGGCATTTACAGCCAAGTTACTACAACTTCCTGTTTCATGGCGAATCTTCGACGCCACGGACACGCCCATCGACGAAAACGCGCAGATAGCTCAACTTTACATCGTCAATGCCTTTAGAAGGCACAGCAGAAATTTTAAGTCGATCCGACTAAATCCCTAGGAGGAGTTCGTTAAAGTACGGAGTCTGTAAATCGTCCAAAAATGGCCGCCAAATTCAAAATGGCGGACCTCCTGTCGAGTTTAGGGTATGGGTTCTTGAGGCTTTTTTGTGCGTCTTGATATGATACACGTCCCCACCAAATTTCGTGCATGTAGGTTGAACGTGGACGAGGGGCTAATTTTTTCCAATTTTCTAGGTGGCGCTAGCGTGCCATTTTGCCCCGCCCATCTGCGAAACCCACAAAATACAAAATTTTTCACCAGTCCTGACATGCGTGCCAAATTTGGTGAGTTTTTGAGCATGTTGCGGCCCCGAAAATGGCACTTACTTTGCAGAAAAAATAAAAAAAAATAAAAAAATAATCCTAACAGTTTCAATAGGGTCCTCACACTGTTAGTGCTCGGGCCCTAAAAAAATAATCCTAACAGTTTCAATAGGGTCCTCGCACTGTTAGTGCTCGGGCCCTAATAAAGTTATTTGGCGTAGGCCCCGTCCATAGTTTGCATAATCTGCATGTCCTGCCTGAAGACAAAGGCAGTGGCGCAGCCTTATGAGACGGACCATCCTGGTGGTGGTGGAGGGGAGGATGGAGGTGAATGGAAGCATCAGCATCTGTGAACTCAAACGTGTAAGTTTCAACCTTTTATACTACGACGATTTAGAGCACGATTGGAAAAGTGGAGGTAAACAGTGATACGCCACTCTCCGGGCCGTACCACTCTCTCTTCAGGACCGTATCTGGACGCTCGCTTCAGATTCCTTTTGCTCTCTCTCACTCTTTTGTGATTCCCGCATGTACCTGTGAGTGCATTTACGTTCTTTCGCTGTGACACAAGTGTGAGCGGTGCATTCGAATTCTATGGGATTGTGGTAATAATTGGAAAATAATTGCAACTAATGTTTGCAATTATTATTAATTGGTCTCAACCAATTTGATATATATTGTAAAGTATAAATTGTATAACACCTAACTGCCCATTCGTTTTATTTTGTATTTCATTTTATAAGGGACAATGAATGTTTATGGCATTATTTTGGAGTCATGTGAGCCATGATGGTGTTTTGTATTTGTGTGTATGACACTGTGCATCTTCTTTATATTTACATGTGCTTCAGCTTGTGGAAAACCAATAGTGGTGAACTTTTATTCATCATGTGGTTTACTTTTTTATAACACCTGCATTATTATGGTGGTTATCAGTATGTTACAATGGTATAAGGCAGATTTGAATACTTTAGTGACTATTCCTACTACCATAGAGGGAGTACTCTGTGTTCGGGCTAAATACCAAGCTCAGAGTCCACCCCCCCGGACAGCAGGCCAAATATGCACAAAGCTTTATTCAATCTAATTATATGTTTATTAATACTACTTCTAGTAATGCATGGTTTTGGTGAGGGCTTTGCAATTTTTCTTCACGTTAGATGTTTTAAACACGCAATTTAGTTGCAAATGAGACACGTGGTGCCCGAAAAGAATCCACCATATTGCTTAAAAACCCTTGACTAAATGTTGTGTTGAACAGCATATGTGAATAATAAAATCACCCAGAATTAACAGCTTGTTACTAGAAGGGGTGCGTGAGTGCGTGCGTGTGAGTTTGTTGAGTGGCCAATGCCATCCTCTGTAGTGGCACTGCACCATTTTATGACCTGTAAGTGTGTTCAAAACATTAAGCTCTCTTCTGATGATATGCTGTTTAGTAATGTGTGTGTGTGTGTGTGTGTGTGTGTTTGTAAGCTAATAAAGATGCAGACATTAGTTTGATGGAAGTGGGTTCTTAGTCAATGCATAAGTGACAGGAAATGTCAACATGAATTATGTTCATGTATGTGTGTGTGTGTGTCTCTGTGCAGGCGGTGGAAGGCTGTTTGATGGAGGGTGATGCTTCTTTCACAGCAGCCGTGGCTGAGACAGAGGCTTTTACTGGCTAGCCTGGCGCTGGGGAGCCTACTCTTACTGGTGGCCCGAGTGGGCACTTTAGATAGGTATAGCATTCATTCACAGAGAAACTCAAATCCCATAAATGCATGTTTAATAAACCCCTTCGTCATGTGTACTTTTAGAAACAAAACACTTTTCACATAAGTGATTGATCCATTAACAACATGACACATTTATTTAATGTATTTAAGTATTTGGTGCTGTGATGAATACCATGGCGAATACAAAAATACGGCTTGATTAGTTGGGGACACTTCATTTTCAACAATAACATTGATCATCCTGCAATGACACATTTATATGAGATCTGAACTGAGCTGGATGATGACATCACTGTTTTCTGCAGAGCAACTTTAAAAAAATTAAGTTAAATTACTTAACTTAAGCTGGACTATGATGATTTTTTTCTTCTAGATCTGCTGTACAGCAGAAACAAACTTTGTTGCATTATTTTCCTGTTATCACTGTAAAGATGCTTTGAAACAATCAGTATGGGCTATATGCACGCATAAGTTCCGCATTTGACGTAAGGATGCTCGTCCATTTCCGGTTGTGGAGATTAAAGCGGAGGAAAACCGCAGAAAACTGGATTATGGCAGAGTCTTCAATATTTACTGTCCTCCCGTCTTTGAAACGAAACGTACATACGTTTAGATGTAATTTTATATATAGTTATGTTTATTTAATATAATTTTAAAAAGAAGCATAAACTCAACGGGGGGTGTCTGTTTTATCTGTTTTTGTGACTAACGTTTCTTTAGTATAACCATGGAGTATAAAATTCAATATAAATTCTCGGTATTGCATTGGACTCTACGATCGGCGGAAGTTATCGAGCATCCTTAATCCTTCACCGGAAATACCGCCGTGCATAGAGCCCATTGAGAAAAAAAGCACTATTTAAATAAAGGTTACATGACTTGAGCCAAATACAGTAAATATATTGTGTAAATAGACGAGTGGTCGAGTGCAAAGACAGCATATTGGTACAGGCCCTGTATATGAGAGCCATTTGTAAATCAGGAAACATTAGAAGTTACAGAACCAGAATTGGTAACACTTTAGAATACGGTTCCTTCGTTAATGAATAACTACACAAGAACCAATGAGTAACACGATATTAACAATCTAGTAACTATTATTAACTAACAAGAAACTCTGATTAACGAACTAGTAAGTAATAGCGCACAGACGAAAGTGGTAGTTCACTATTAAGTAATCAATAACTACTATTTTTTAATACTTCCCAGAGAACTACTGAAAAAGTTTATTAACAATCTAGTAACTACTATTAACTAAAAAAAATTCTTATTAACAAATTAGTAAGTAATAGCTCACAGATGAAAATGTTACTAGATACTTCTGTGGGAATTACTAATTATTTGGATTCGTATTATAAAGTGAAGATCATTGGAACTAACTAGTAATAGTGACTCAAGTGTTACTATACTAAAGTTCACCAAAAATCTCAAACGTTTGCACATATCATGACTAGATCATGTAGTAACACTTGAGTCGTTACTAGTTAGTTCCAATGATCTTCACTTTATAATACGGATCCAAATAATTAGTAAGTAATAGCTCACAGATGAAAGTGTTACTAGATACTTCTGTGGGAATTACTAATTATTTGGATCCGTATTATAAAGTGAAAATCATTGGAACTAACTAGTAATTACTCAAGTGTTACATGATCTAGTCATGATTTGTGCAACCGTTTGAGATTTTTTGGTGAACTTTAGTATACTTTTAGAAAATGTCTTTAGTAACACTTGAGTCATTACTAGTAAGTTCCAATGATCTTCACTTTATAATACAAATCCAAATAGTAATTCTCACAGAAGTATCTAGTAACACTTTCATCTGTGAGCTATTACTTACTAATTCGTTAATAAGAGTTTATTTTAGTTAATAGTAGTTACTAGATTATTAATAAACTTTTTCAGTAGTTCTCTGGGAAGTATTAAAAAAATAGTAGTTATTGATTACTTAATAGTGAACTACCACTTTCGTCTGTGCGCTATTACTTACTAGTTCGTTAATCAGAGTTTCTTGTTAGTTAATAATAGTTACTAGATTGTTAATATTGTGTTACTCATTGGTTCTTGTGTAGTTATTCATTAACGAAGGAACCGTATTCTAAAGTGTTACCCCAGAATTAATGTGACATTTATGTAAAATGGGAAGTTTAAATTTGTTTAATTGAAATGAGATTTTCATTCTCTCATTGCAGGCTGCAGTTGATCTGCCCCATTAAGGTCAGAATGCCTCCTGCTGGTGTGTCATGGGAGACTCCTTTACATTCGTTGCAGCACAAACACACTCATCGTTTCAAGCTGCACAGGACCAACAGCACAAGGGAGAAACCACACAGGCACCTCCTCATTAAGCAGCTGCCCAGAGCCATCATCATTGGCGTGAGGAAAGGTGGAACACGTGCGTTGCTGGAGATGCTCAGTCTTCACCCTGATGTTGTCAAGGCCTCCCAGGAGGTCCACTTTTTCGACAATGACCAGAACTACGCTCGCGGCATTAACTGGTACCGCGAAAAGATGCCCTTCTCTTTTCCTCACCAAATAACTATTGAGAAGAGTCCTGCATATTTCATCACCGAGGAGGTGCCTGAGAGGATCTTTAAGATGAATTCCTCCATTAAACTTCTGGTTATTGTGCGTGAGCCCACCACCCGCGCTGTTTCCGACTACACACAGGTCCTGGAAGGGAAAGAGCGCAAGAAAAAAATGTATGCTAAGTTTGAGGAACTTGTGATTGATAACAACACTTCTGAGGTGAACACAAAGTACAAGGCGGTGCGGACAAGCATCTACTCCAAGTACCTAGAACACTGGTTAAAGTTCTTCCCTGTGGAGCAGTTTCATGTAGTTGATGGAGACCGCCTCATCATAGACCCACTGCCAGAACTTAAGCTTGTTGAGCATTTCTTAAACCTGCCCTCGTGCATCAGCCAGTACAATCTGTACTTTAATGCCACACGTGGGTTCTTCTGTCTGCGATATAACTTCATATTTAACAAGTGCCTGGCGGGCAGTAAGGGACGGATCCATCCAGATGTAGACCCATCCATCAAGGAAAAACTGCACCGCTTTTTCCACCCATTTAACCAGAAGTTCTATCAGATCACTGGCAGGACTTTCAACTGGCCCAGAGGAATCTGACTTTAAAGGGGAAATGAAGCGGTGAATCAAGTTTACATGATTTACAAGATGGATTTCCAATATAATCAACAATTATATAAGAAACATCACAAATGTAAACATTTAGAAGAAAAAAAGAAAAAACTTCGTATCTTTCGCCGCCAGGGCGCCGCCATTGTGCAGGTGACGTCACGGGGTTGGTTGACTCAAGTTTAACAGGCTCTGGGCATTGAAAATCGCGACATCAAACTGTGTTTATACCAGTGTTTTGACCGCGAACGATTAATGTTAGGTACAGATATTAGACAAAAAGACGACGTCTCATGTTATATGTTGACAAACTGCACATAGAAACATTGTTCGCGATGTCTGCCGTCAGATATTCCCGTCTCGTCAATAACATGTAAGTTACGTTGCTGTGTAGAACAGTCAGTGTTGGTTTGGGGTGGAGAGCGGGTTTGCAACGCTAACTTACCAGGTGTCAGTGTGGCTGTTGTCCTGCGATGCCCTCCGTCGCAGAGTCCATCTGTTGTCAAGAGGTTGATCTTGAGCATGTGTTGCGTGGTCAATTCTGCATCACCGGCGCGCACGTTTACCATGCTGTTAGACGTGTGGAAGCGGCGATGCTTTCCCTGAAGGAGACACTTTTTCCTAGTATATGTAGGCTGTAGCTAACGTTACTAGCACTACCAGTGCGAAAATATGGACGTTTCATTTCTCCTTTAACAAATACGTGCTAACTTACATGTTATTGACGAGACGGGAATATCTGACGGCAGACATCGCGAACAATGTTTTTATGTGCAGTTTGTCAACATATAACATGAGACGTCGTCTTTTTGTCTGATATCTGTACCTAACATTAGTCGTTCGCGGTCAAAACACTGGTGTAAACACAGTTTGATGTCGCGATTTTCAATGCCCAGAGCCTGTTAAACTTGAGCCAACCAACCCCGTGACGTCACCTGCACAATGGCGGCGCCCTGGCGGCGAAAGATACGAAGTTTTTTCTTTTTTTCTTCTAAATGTTTACATTTGTAATGTTCCTTATATAATTGTTGATTATATTGGAAATCCATCTTGTAAATCATGTAAACTTGATTCACTGCTTCATTTCCCCTTTAAAGGGTCATGAAACCCCCCTCTTTCAGCTCAAGTCTAGCTCAAAATCTTTTTGAAAAATGCAACTGAAATGGGCGTGGCTAGCTGTGAGAAGAAGGGAGGGAGTGGGTGTTGTATGACCATCAGTGTCACTGTCCCATGCATTTCGACTGTCACTAAAAAGCAATGGTAAAACGTGAGGAAATGCTAGATTTTTATATAGCTGGCAAAGTTAAAGTCTTATGAAGTACACTGACGCTTTATTATCGTCCTTTCAAAAGTAACTGAATGTCCTACTGTAATGGAGAGGCAGAGTCGTGTGGATCCATATGCAGTGTAGATTTATTAAGAATAGTAATACAGGCACGGGTCAACGATCAGCATAAATGTATAACAGACAATCCACAAGAATCACCGATGACAGGCAGGGGTCAGGACAGGCAGCAAGGATCAAAGTCCAGAAGAGACAGGCGAGGGTCAGGGCACGCAGCAAGGGTCGTAATCCAGAAACACAGGCAATGGTCAGGGCAGGCAGCAAACGGAGAATCACAGTCCAAGAACAGTCGAGGGTCGATACACAGAGAATTCAGATAAACACAGGGGAAAACGCTCAGAAATGTCGCCGGGGCAAAACAAGACTTCGCATTGATTGAGAGTCAGCGGGCTGTTTATATAAGAGGGTAAATAGGGAACACCTGTGCCGGTGATTAACCCTAGGTACGGGGCTTATGGGAAATGCAGTTCAATACTCGGGAGACGGAGCTCTATGATGAGCGGAGAGAGCCACGGAGGAGCGATTCATGACAGAGCCCCCCTCCTGCGAGCGGCTCCTGAAGCGAGGATGTGTGCGACGCCGAGGTCTTCCACGGGGTCTCGGGGCAGGTTTAGTGGGGTGTTGTTGATGGAACTCGGAGATCAATGATGGATCCAGAACATCCTGGGACTTTACCCACGATCTCTCCTCAGGACCATACCCCTCCCAGTCGATCAAATACTGTAGTTCCCTGCCTCGGCGTCTTGAGTCAAGAATCTCTCTCACCCGGTAAGCCTCCTCGCCTTCGATGATGATGGGAGGGGAGCTCGTCTCCGCAACCTCGTCCTGGTCCCTCTCTCCACTCGGAGCTCCGGCAGGTTTGAGCAATGAGACATGGAAAGTGGGAGAGATACGGTAAGTAGGTGGCAATGCAAGTCGGTATGACACAGGGGTGATTTGTCTGAGAATTTTGAATGGACCCACGTACCTAGGACTCAGCTTCTTGCTGGGAAGACGGAGGCGTAGGTCCCTGGATGACAGCCAGACCCATTGTCCTGGTTGATAGTTGTGCCCTCCTCTCCGATGACGGTCCGCTTGCTCTCTGAAACGTCGAACTGCCCGTTGTAAATGAACATGAGCATTATTCCAGGTCTCCTCACTTCTCCGAAGCCAATCGTCAATGGCCGGTAACTCCGTGGGTTCCCCGGACCAGGGAAATAGAGGTGGTTGATAACCCAGAATGCATTGGAATGGTGTTAGACCTGTGGATGGTTTACGTAAGGAATTTTGAGCGTATTCAGCCCACACCAGAAAACGACTCCACTCCTGTTGATTTTGGTTGCAGTATGTCCGCAGGAAACGAGTGAGTTCCTGGTTGAGCCTCTCTACTTGTCCATTGGCCTGTGGATGATATCCGGAGGTTAAACTGACATTGATATTTAACTTTTCACATAGAGCCTGCCACACCCGCGACGTGAACTGAGGACCCCTGTCAGACACGATATCCTCGGGTAGTCCGTACAGCCGAAACACCTGTTGCATCAAAGCCTCTGCTGTCTGTAGCGCTGTGGGAAGTTTGACCAATGGAACGAACCGACAAGCCTTAGAAAACCGGTCGACCACCGTTAGAATGGTTGTGAAACTCTGTGAGGAAGGAAGATCGGTGACAAAGTCAATTGCGATGTGGGACCATGGGCGTTGTGGTACGGGAAGTGGTTGGAGTAATCCGGCAGGTCTCTGGTGAGATGATTTTGAGATGTTACATGCAATGCATTGCTTTACGAAGGAGATAACGTCCGCCTGAAGCGTTGACCACCAGAATCGGTTCATGACTAGGTGAGTAGTGGCTGTGATTCCTGGATGACCTGAGCTGGGAGTATTATGCACCAATTCCAGCACTCGAGTGCGAAGAGAAGTCGGTACATATGTACGATCTGGAGGACAGTCCGAAGGTGTTTGCTCCTCCTGCTGAGCGGCTGAAATTTCTGTCATGATATCCCACTGGATGGGAGCCACGATGACGGCGGGGGGCAGAATCGGTTCTGAAGTGTGAGCATTGGGTGAACTATCAAATTGTCTTGAGAGAGAGTCCGCCTTACCGTTCTTGGATCCTGGACGGTACGTCACTTTGAAGTCAAATCGACTAAAGAACAGGGACCACCTGGCCTGTCTGGGATTCAGTCTCTTGGCTGTCTTGATGTACTCTAGGTTACGGTGATCGGTTAGAACGGTGAATGGAAGATGCGCCCCCTCCAACCAATGCCGCCACTCCTCCAAAGCTGCCTTCATGGCTAGAAGTTCCCGGTCTCCCACATCATAGTTTCTCTCAGCAGAATTTAGTTTTCGTGAATAATATGCACAAGGGAAGAGCTTCTCTGGATTGCCCTGTCGTTGTGATAGTACTGCCCCGATGCCTGTATCCGACGCATCCACTTCAACGATGAACTCTCGCTCTGGGTCGGGGTGATGCAAAATAGGAGCGGTGGTAAATTTCTCCTTCAACTGTTGAAAAGCTCTTAGACTGCTGGGTGACCACTTTAATTTATGTCCACCACCTTGCAACATGGAAGTGAGTGGTGCGGCGATGACGCTGAAGTTTCTGATGAAACGACGATAAAAGTTTGCAAAGCCCAAGAAACGTTGTAGTTGTTTGACGTTCTTTGGTTGTGGCCAATCTACCACGGCCTGAACTTTGTCTCCATCCATGGTGACCCCCTCAGCGCTGATGATGTAACCCAGGAAAGCGATCTGCGTCTGATGAAACTCACATTTAGGTAGTTTTGCGTATAGTTGATTCTCAATGAGGCGCTGTAGCACTGCTCTCACCTCTTTCACATGATCCTCAAACGTCTCGGAATAGATCAGGATATCATCGATGTAGACAATAAGATTCCGATTGAGCATATCTCGGAAGATCTCATTAACAAAGGACTGAAAAACAGAAGGACTGTTAGCTAATCCGAAAGGCATCACGGTGTATTCATAGTGCCCCGTAGTGGTTGAAAAGGCTGTCTTCCACTCATCTCCCTCTCGGATCCGTATCAAGTTATATGCGTTTCTCAAGTCGAGCTTGGTAAAATACTTGGCGGTACGGAGCTGTTCAAGAGCAGCAGGAACCAGAGGCAATGGATAGCGGAACTTTACGGTGATCTCATTCAAACTGCGGTAATCAATACAGGGTCGTAAACCTCCATCCTTCTTCTTAACGAAGAAAAAGCCAGCTGAAGCAGGAGAAGTAGATGGTCTTATGAAGCCCTTGGATAGCTGTTCTTCGATGTAGGTCTTCATCGCTTCAGATTCTGGCTGTGAAAGAGGGAATATTCTTCCTCGAGTAGGAGAGGCGCCGGTAATGAGATCGATCGCGCAGTCATAGGGACGGTGAGGAGGAAGTTTGGTTGCCTGATCCTCACTGAAGGCTAACGAGAGATCTTGATATTGAACAGGAATCTTGGCTGATTCTGGAACTTCGGAATGAGGAATGGATAAGGACACCTTGGTGATGGAGCGAAGACAATCCCTGTGACATGCACTAGACCACTGAACTATCTGTTTTTCAGACCATGAGATGACTGGGTTGTGTTTCTCCAACCAGGGTAGTCCTAGAATGATTGGGTGTCGTGGTGAGTCAATGGTGAACAGTTGGATGATTTCAGAGTGAAGGGTGCTGGTCTTTAAAGTTACTTCTTGCGAGATGTATTGT